TCTGCCTGTGTCTCTGCCATTCTCTCTCTCTCTCTCTCTCTCTCTCTCTCTCTTTCTCTGTCTCTCATGAATAAATAAATAAAATCTTAAAAAAAAAAAGATATTATTTCCCTCCTTCACTCATTCTCTCATGAGAACACTGTGGAGTTTTCCAGAGGCTACATGATGTGTGATAACAGAACAGAATGAATGCAGAAGCACATAAGCTCATCCAGTTATTTCAAAACATCAAAAAGATTTGTACACACAAAAAGTAAAATAATATCACACTTCTCACTTTTTTTTTGAAAATGCTCATTTTTCATTAGAATATTGCTTATATGCTAATCTTTAATGGGTTAATGACTGTTATCTTTAAACAAATTAATACATAACTTTTTAAAGGTCTCAGGTTTAATTTCTAATATCATACATATTAAATAGGTATAACTTACAGAGGAAAAGCTCTTTGGAGTCAATTTTTAAAAGCATAAAGTGGTCTTAAGACCAATAAATTTGAGAACAGCTGATTCATATTTAATCCTCAATTTATGAGGTAATGGTTCTATTCTTTCATCATTCCAGGAACACAGATGAGAACACAAGTGAGAAAACAGACACAAAAAAGGACTTGCTCAAAATCACACAAGGACTTCTTAAGCCAGCATTTGAATACAAGTCTATAGTTCCTAACCCTAACTCCTCTCCACTGAGCAACAATATCCACCCAAGATGCTCTATATTGGGTATTCACTCTTTGTCTTATAGTCTTAAAAAGTAACGAGGGCTCACTGGAATGTTTTAAATGTATAGAACTTAAAAAAAAAATCAAACACTACAAAAAACTCTCATCATTGCCAACACCGTGAACACCCACCAGAGAAAACTACTAATAGCTGGGTTCCCACTCATCCAAAATTCATTTATTTATACACATACACTTTTTATTTGTATAAGCACATTTTTTAAATGGGATCACACTGAGTTATGAAATAGCAACTTGAATTATTTCATTTCATATCTCTTGAAGATGTTCCTGCATCTACAAACAGATTTATCTCCTTTTAATAGATCACCATCATTTAACTGTAGCCAAATTTTTGCTGTTTAAAAAGTCACAAGATACACGCTATAACTTTGTGTAGCTGTGAAGCTGTATCTGTTGGAAAATCCCTGGAATTGCTGGGTCAAAGGGTATAAACGCTTTAAATCTAAATAGAGGTTGCCAAATGCCCTCCAAAATGTCCATGCCCAATTTACATTCCCACTAACAGCATATAAGATTTCCTTCAATAATTCAGCTTTTAAGTGTCTTGGAAAATTATGTTTTATGTTGCTTCAAAATGCCAAGTACTAGAACTGCTCTCAATGGTCATCTTAATTCCATACAGAACTCTACACAAATCTTCTAACACTCACTGAATGTATCACATTAGCCATTCATCTTTATTTTTTCCTGAAGCCTTTTAAATACCTCAGAAGAGAAAACACACCAGGTGCACGTAGGTTCTTCAACTACCTTGGTCTCGAATTTTAGGTACTCTGATAAAAAAGTTATCCAAATTATTGCAGAAGACTATTTAACACAATCAGAACTACACAGTAACACTGGGCTCAACCATTTAAATTAAAGGAAAGTTCTAAGTGTGGATTTATTGTGCTTTATCTGCCCACACAAAAGACGAGGGCTACAAATAAAAAGCTATCAAATCATACCAGTGGCCAAATTAGCTTACATAAAATAATAAGCAACAGATTTCATATCATAAATGTCAATGGAACAGACTGCAATAGTTAAGAATGGCTGTAATTGGAAAGAAAGTTCACTCAAAGTCACATCATACCGAAAATGAAAACATTAATATTTTAAATGAAATGTTTTGAATGTGACCATTCATTTCAGTCATATCAGACTATTATAAATCTTTGGTACTAATAAATAAGATATGGTCTTTTTTTGCAAGTAGATAGTTTTAAAATGCATTATACTCTGACCTGCCTGTTCTGTAACGGCTAATGGATATTCCAGGCTTCACTATTTCATCAAAATCTCTCTTCTAGGGCTCTGTGCTAGTAATTTTAAATTCAAAGTCTCCAACCCATCTTTGGGACAAAGTAAACCTTCATTAATTCAAGTCCAATTAGCTCAATACTGAAGTGGTACACATAATTCTCATTAGGCAACAAGTTGAAAATACTGTAATTTCTTCCTCTACAAGTTCTCATAATATTACTGTGAAATAAAGGAAATCAGCCTGAAAATCAGTGTGCTTTTCCAAACCAAAGATTTACAAAACTAAGGATGCATCCATCTTCCTGGCTGAGCAGTTCATCCTCAGTGTGAAGGTCCACTTCTGTTTATCACAGTACATCACTACTGTATATAGTGAAAGTGATGTAACCTGTCATTATCAGTGAAGCCATTTACAGTTTGGAGTATGTGGATTCCTTTTAAATATCTTGTAACTCAGACTTTTCACAAAGCCATTCTTGCAGCTTCTCCCATTTCTAATTTCCCACTTCGGATCTAAAATGGCAAATGTAGCACCTTAACAGGTACACAAGTAGACTTTGCAATGCCTGGCATCCTTATTTGTATTTATTCTTATCATTTTGAAAGATGTTATAAGCCAAAAAATAAGTCCCAGGACTAAGTGGCATGTTTGGTGTTACGTGAATTTACAACTTACTATTCCCAACGAACAGAGAAACCTTCTCTTGCAATCTGAATCATGTGTAATTACAGTATGACAAGGTCTCTCCTGGGCTATGTAAGCTGGCATTTTTCCCAGGACTTGTCACATCATGGGAAGCACACATACAAATAAAAATCCAAAAATAAACATTTTAAAACAATGGCTTATAGACTACATAAAGAAACTCCACAGTTGAAAATAAAAAATTGAGGAGCCCAGCCGGCAAGCAGGCATCTCTCACTAGAGACGCCTAAGACATCAGTGTTATCAAGCAGGCTACCACGCCTAGCAACAACTCCCAGGTGTGGGCTTTGCAGGGCAGCACCCTCACGTTCTCTCCGGCTGGACAGAAAATCATTAAGTAGGGAAAATACAGGGGAACATCGCCACATACACACCGAAGCAGAGAAACAGTGGTGAAATCTAGGGAGGTTCGTCATCTTTAATTTCATCATGCCAATTGCTTGATTGTTAAGGCGCCTAAACAAAGTTACCTTCAGAGCTACATCTTCTGCCAACTGACTTAGTTTTCCTAATACAATAAATATTGCTTTTTTTTTGCTCAATGTATTTTATCTCGAAGTGAGCAGCAACCAAGTAGTCCTAACAGTGGATACCAAGGATCTTAGAAGGTGGTTTCTTTTGTTTAAACTCCTCTGCAGTGGCTCTATAGATACATGGAAAGGGAGAGCGGGAAGCCTCACACCCAACCTCACACAGTGACAGAAACTTGACAATCCTCATCCTAATTACAGTGTTGAGGAAATATGAAGTCAAAGATCTCTGGCTATATTTTGATTTAAAATGCTAACAAAATCTAAACGTTATTTCCTATAGACCACGCATATTCCTACCCCTCTATTAAGAGGCTGGATTCATTTATTATCCATCAAATTCAACTGTTCAAGTTTTCAAGAGGAGCTATAAAACAAACCACTGAAGGCAAAACATACAATCCTACAACCCATTACACGGGCTCTGGAAACAAAAATAAGCATCAACACAAACCTCTGCCACCTCGAAGGCACACAGCATTTCTCCTTTCTTTATTCAGCTCCTCAATGTTCAATAATTTCCAGTAGCTCTAAGCAGAATGGATTTATTATGATGTTACTCTAAGAAACTGCAGGAGTTCTAGATGCCAATAAAGATTACGGATCAAATGGAAGATAACTACTAACCATTGTGTCGAGTTAGATAAATAAACCTGCTCACAAACAAAGCACCTTATTGTATTTGTACTGTTACCTCCACTAATCCAACTAAAACAACCAGACAGTAGCTTTCCGGAGGCTGAAGGGAATAGAAATGGAATTTCTCAAACCCTTTTTAAATTTCGTCTAAAGTAACATCCCGTTTTTCTTTTTTTCTTTTTCTTTTTTTTTTTTTTAAAACTGTCCTGCCCTTGATGGAAACTGTTTGGGACCTGATGGGCCAAGCTGTGGATCATGCAAACTAGAGACCAAGGCAAAAAAAAAAAAAAAAACACCAAGGTGGGGAAGGGCTGAAGCAGGAGGCAGGACCACAGCGTTCCCCCTGAAACTTAGCTTCGACCTTTGCTGAGACCCTCTTCCCCCGCAGATCACAGCGGGCAGACTTCGGACCGCCGCTCAAAAAAAAAAAAAAAAAAAAAAAAAAAAAATCGAAGGAGCCATCAAGTGCCACCGGGGACTAGGGAGGAGGAAGCCCCCAGACCAAACATAAAATGCTGACGGTGCCGGGTGGGGGTGGGTAACCCACAAAAAAGGAAAATCTGTGACAACTGGCACCCCAGTGCCTGATACACAGGAAGGAAGGCAGAGAAGACCCTCAAGAGAGGCGACTTCTCGAGACGGAACAATAACTACATCCCACGCATTCCTTGCTAATAACACAGGTAAATCTCAATTTCTCCGGGGGGGGAGGGAGAAAAAAAGAGGGGGGGCGCGAGCTGTTTATTCCCTCCAGCCCCACCCCACCCCCACCCCCTCATCCGACACCTCCAAACCCAACAACTAATTGCACCTTCCCCGCAGAACCCGCGGCTAACCCCAGAGGACCGGTGAGGGCAGGCCCGGGATGAATAAACACACTCGACACCTGACGGTCCTTTCTCTGCGGTGACTTTCCCGAAGCCGAAGTGGCGCGCGCGCGGGCGGGAGCCCGGACCTGGCCAGCGCGGCGCCGCGCACCCCGGTCCCGAGGCGACGCCGGGGAGCGCGGGGGGGGGGGGGTGGCGGCGGGGAGAGGGGCAGGCGGGCCGCCCGGGCCAAGCGATTGTTTCCTCCGCGAGCAAAGACATTTTTTTTTTTTTTTAATCAAGCTCCTTTTGTATTCGAGCCCTACCTCTTTTTGGCCTAGGAAAGCTTTCGTGCAAGTGGAAGACGACTTTCTCCACAAAGTGCTGTATGTTACTGTGCTCCGGGCCGCGCACGAACACCATCCAGTCGTGGGTGAAGCCCTCCACGGTGGGTTTTTTCCTCACCTGGGCGCGGTGCCCCAGCTCCAGCTTCACCTGCACGGCACACTGCGGGCAAGGGGGAGGAGAGACAGCCGTGAACAACAGGAAGGCGACCGTTCGACACTGAACATTGCGCCTGACATTTTTTTTTTTCCTCCTTCTTGAAACGCACATAAAAGGAAACGGCGGTGCCCTCTGCATCCACGTTTCACGCGCGTGGGCGCGCACACCGCACGCCCCCAAATACACCCCACCCGGCCCGCCGGGCGCCCGGGGCCCCGCAGCCACAACCGCAGGGATTGTAACGGAATGTTGCCCCCGATCGGGAAGGGGGTCCGGGGCTCGGGGAGGGGGGGAGACGGAGAGCACGCTCAGCCCCTCCGAGCACGACCACAAATGCATCGGAAACAAATTAGAAGACAATTAGGAGGCGATGCCGGGGCGGTTTCCCGGCGTGGGAAGGGAGGTGGCGCGGACCCTGAGCGCGGGGTTCTGGGGAGCCCCCTCCCTGAGAGTACCGCGGCGACAGCACACGCCGAGGAAGTCTTTGTGTACGTGTGTGTGTGCGTGCGTGTGGAGCGCTGTGCCAGGCGGAATGGAAACTACAGGCAGCCTCTGCTGATGGGCACAAACTCCCGTGCTCCTAGCACCGGGTCCGTGCACAACAAAAATGAGACGTCGTCACACACACACACACACACACACACACGCGCGCGCGCGCGCGCCCGCAAGAAAACACGCCGAGGCATCCGTAACTTAGGGCACCCCGCACCCCCCGGCGAAAAGCCCCACGCGATCGGCGAGGCCAGCCTACGGAGCCCCCGAAACACACTTCCAAGAGCCAAAGTGGCCCCAAAGTAGCTCCCACCTCCCCCCCAAAAAAAGAATTGAATCCGGAGAAGCAGGGGCGGCGGGCGGACAGCCGCCGAGGCTCGACTGCGCACAGCCCGGCGCGGGGGCAAAGTTGCGAGCCGCCCCGCCGCTGTCAGCCCGCACACTCCGGCTCGCACGCGCGCGCCGCGGAGAACGCACCATCGTAGCGGCCGCCGAGGCTGCTCGCCGCGTCCCCGGACCGTGCCCGCCGCTCCCGGCGGCGGCGGAGGCTGAAATATGGCTGAGTTATTATTCGCCTCCTTCCACCGTGTGAGTGTGTGTGTGTGTGTGTGTGTGTGTGTGAGTGCGCGCGTGTGAGCGAGAGTGCGCTTCTTGCGATTGCAAAGAGAGGCGAGGAGAGAGGGAGGCGCGGGGGGGGGGGCGGAGGGGCGAGTGTGTGAGTGTGAGTGTGTGTGTGTGCGCGCGCCCGGGGGGGGCGGAGGGAGGGAGGGAGGGAGGGAGGGAGGGGGGGGGAGGGAGGGGAGCGGAGGCTGAGGGAGAGGCAGCAGCTCCCTGCAAGCCGTACCAACCTTTCTCTAATTGGAACCGCGGAGCGCTGGCGCTGTCTGGGCTGCGGCGGCGGCGGCGGCGGCGGCGGCGCAGGGCGAGGGAGGAAAGGCGGGGAGGGGGGGTGGCCTTTTATTATTATTTTTGCAGGTACTTACCGAGCTAGCCATGCCTGGGGGCCCGGAGGTTTGCTGGGGTGTTGTGTGGTACCCCCCTCCCCCGCCCCCCTCAGCTGTAATTCATGAAGAGGCTGCTATGAATGAGAGCGCGCCCAGGAGCGGAGGGTAGATGGCGGACATTCTCTGCCTTTTTCCCCCCGCGTTCGCTTGCTCGCTCGCTCGCTCGCTCGCTTATTAAACTCAGCCCCAAAAGCAAAAGCGGCGGCAGCAGCAGCAGCAGCAGCAGCAGCTCCAGGGCCGGAGGATGAGATTCCGGAGCATGCGCCGTGGCGCCTGACACCGGGGCTCCGAGGCTTACGGGGCGGAGGGAGGGCGCGCGGGCGGGGCGGAGCGCGCGGGGAGGCCGAGCGAGCGAGCCAGGGGGAGCTCGAAGGAGCCAATCACGGGCCGCCTCCCGAAACCCCGGCGGCCCGCACCGCCACACTGGAACGCCCTGCTTAAAGTAACAGGTTCCTACTGGGCAGGGTGCGGGGGGGGGGGGGGGGGGGAGGGGGAGGGGGGAGGTGGAGCGGAGGGCGGGGAGGGCGCGCTGGATGGGGAGAGCGGCCAGCTGCGGAGCCATCCCAGCCCCTGTGTAAACTCCTCTCGCCCTACAATAAAAAACGGATTAAAACTGCTGGAATGTAGCCACTGCCTAGAGCCCCCAGCAGCCAGAGAAGGGGTGTTAAATCAAGTCTTCGGCGTTAGCACGCACGGGCGGGGGGGGGGGGGGGTGGGAGGGAGGGGGTTTTCTTTTACTTTCCACCCCGTCTTTTTTGTGGTTTTGTGCTGAAAAGGCAAGAACTCACGCCCAAACAAACTTATTTAAGGACAGAGCGAGAGCAATGCCACTCTACAAACAGACATCAAAAAGCAGACGCTGAGACTGTTCTAACCGGCACCAACCCCGCGGCCCCCTTCCCCATCCCCTCGCAGGCACCCGCCCACTGGCCCCACTCCCCGCCCTTCTGCCGCCGCCACGGAAAATTCAAAAATGAAATGAACACAAATGCCATTTCCTTCCAAGGGAACTCCTCCCGCTTTGGTAATCCCCGGCTGGGAGGCATCACACAGCGGCGCCCAGGTGAAGGTGAGACACCTGGGAGTACCGGGAGCAGACCGGCGGGGATGAGGCTTGGAGGAGTTTGCTTCGGGGGGAGTCCCCTCCTGACAGCCCCGCCGGGTTGCACCAGAGCGCGGAGCATTGTCCTCGAAGGACACGCGAGGCAACTGGGAGTCTTAAAATAGCAGATAAAGTTAATACTGGCTGTAATGTGCATAAATTGGATTATAATCTTTAGGCGTATTGGTGACAGCCGGCGTAATCCAGCTCTGGGTATTAATCCGGTTAGGCTCCCGGGTGACAACCAGCCGCAAGGGTGTTCCCAGAGTCGCGCTCCCGCAAGCCTCCCCACTCGGGGCGTACTGGGTCTCGGTGGCCGCGGAGGCAGCCGCGCAGCCACGCGTGGGGCAGGGGAGGAGTACTGACTAGCTTCCTTTAGCAACGCGGACAACCTTCACAAAGGAAACGGATAAGATCTAGACGATTGATTTGAAAGTGAAAGATGGGTGTGACTCCGGTTCGTTAGAGAAAGATCCTTGCATCTTCCTAGCCCTCTTCCTTTTGCGCCGTCTTTGTCTGTTTTCTTTCTTCTTTTTCCCTCGGCTCCCAATTTCTTCCTGAATCTTTCCTTTGGTTTCATCTCTTCTCCCTGCCTCCTCCTTTATTTGCCTCTTTTCCCCTTTCTGGCTCAACTTTCTGGCTTTCTTCTTCTTTTCTTTCTCAAAACCACGAAAGCAAGATGTCTCAGCTCTGGGATTAGAGAGAGCGGTATGGAGGGAAGGAGGTTACCTGGGGCATCCAGAGTCCTGGCTGCTAGTTTTCAGTTCTCCCAGCTGCTCACCGAAAGAGAACCTGAATCAGATCACAGCACTCTGGGCCAACGTTAACTTCCAATCCAACCCTCCAACTCGAGGGGTTTGAACTGCTAAAACGGATACTCTGACCCCAGTTACAACCTGGAAAACCTTAGCTTGAGGACCCCAATTCCTCCTACCCTTTTATTGGATTTAGTAGCATAGAACCACCGAGGGGAGAAACATTTTAATCCAAATCCAAGGGCATGGATTTCTCTATTGACCCACATCTCCATAGATGCATATCGTCTCGCATGTCTGTATACACGTGTAGGTGTGTGTGTATTGGGACGTAGATTACATAGACCTAGACAAACTGTGGGTTAGGATCCACGTGAAGGGTGGACCTCCTTACTACGCATTATTCAATTTTTGATGAAATAATTAGAAATCCTTCAGAATAATAAAATAGGGAACTGATGGTTGTCTGGATGTGCCATTAGTGTAAAGCCGTTTCCTGTAAGGAGCAGCCATTGGGCAGTCAGTGTAGCTCAACACACAGGTGAAAACCAATCTGATTGTAAGTTTGAGTTGACTTTACAGTTTTGCTAACTTCTTTCAGTGCTAGCCAGACTTTCTTGTGATTCTCCCTGTAACTTGTCCTTGCGCTGAGGGACTGATACTTTTTCGAATTGTGTGTTTGTTGGATTAAGATTTATTCCAAGAGTCACCATAAGCCTTAGAGTCAGAAAGGGTCTTTTCCCATTACCCCTCCCTTCTCAAAGACTCCTTTAAAAACCCAACGTTGGGGGAAATTTCATTCTCAAGACACTGAAAATATAGATTTGGTCAGTAGATGGCGCATGGAGCCCTTCCACCAACGTCCTTACGTGACCTCTTTACAACAAAAAAGACCAGGAGGAGGAGAAAAAGAAAGAAAACACAACCCTGAATACTCCAGATTCAACTTTTGGGCAGAGGAATTTATGCCAGTCTTTGAATGTATTCTTTATAACCTGTTCTAACAAGCTGGCTATTAATTAAAAGCAATCAAAACAGGAATAAGAGCAGATTAATTTTGTCCAGCATATCTGAAGATTTTTGCACTTTAAGTGAGGTTACAGATGTGAGAAATTTTTTTAATATTTAACAGTGCAATTATAGAAAATATTTTGCAAATAAATTTTTAAGAGAGGCTTCTTCAGCACTAAATATCCCCCCCTCAATTTTTTTAGTGGAAATGTTTAGGGATAAAACTATCGATTTATCCAAAAAGCAGCTATCTTACCAAAATTCATACTGTAGTATATAGCAAAATATGAAACACTGTGGGGTTAGTTTTGAGAAGCAGAAGAAAAAAGCAATTGACATCATTATTTCAAATAAAATGCTTGACAAAGAATAAAAAAAGGATGGTGTCGGGGATAGATCCTAATTCCTGATCGTTATCACCACCATCACCATAACTCTTCAACCATCATTTCAGTTCCAGCACTTTTATTTACAATAGTTTTGTTTAGTATGGTAGTTGAGGCCAGTTTGGTTGTCTCTGGCACAATATAAAGAGGTCCTTTAAAGAGTAATAGGGTGTTAAGGAGTAATTGTTGCTTCTTAATATGATTTTATCTATTTATTTGTTGTGATAAATTCTTTATGCATAAGCTCAAATAATCAAATCAATAAAAAATTAATCCTTGCTCATCTTGCTGTATGGATTGGGGGAGAAAAGGAAGAAAATGCATGGGGGAAAAAAAACATAATGGGGGGATCCCTGGGTGGCGCAGCGGTTTGGCGCCTGCCTTTGGCCCAGGGCGCGATCCTGGAGACCCGGGATCGAGTCCGACGTCGGGCTCCCGGTGCATGGAGCCTGCTTCTCCCCCAGCCTGTGTCTCTGCCTCTCTCTCTCTCTCTGTGTGTGTGTGTGTGTGTGTGTAACTATCATAAATAAATAAGAATTTAAAAAAAAAACATAATGGGACAGAAACTAACCAGACATCTGATATACATTAGACTCAGAATAATTAAGGATTTTTTTTTAATAATAGCATACTTTTTCTTTTTTAAGATTTTATTTATTTATTCATGAGAGACACAGAGAGAGAGGCAGAGACACAGGCAAAGGGAGAAGCAGGCTCCATGCAGGAAGCCCCATGTGGGACTCGATCCCAGGATCACAACCTGAGCCAAAGGCAGATGCTCAACCACTGAGCCATCCAAGAGTCCCAATAGTGCACTTTTTCTGTGTACTTTATTCATGTGTTCATTCACCAAAACTGTATTTTGCTCATTCCATGTGCCAGGCACAGAGTTAGACTGTAAGAAAGTTAGAAGGATAGAGGGGATCCCTGGGTGGCTCAGAGGGGATCCCCAGGTGGCTCAGCGGCTCAGCGGTTTAGTCCCACCTTCAGCCCAGGGTGTGATCCTGGAGACCCAGCATCAAGTTCCAAGTCAGGCTCCCTGCATGGAGCCTGCTTCTGCCTGTGTCTCTGCCTCTCTCTCGCTCTGTGTGTCTCATGAATAAATGAAAAGAAAGAAAGAGAAAGAAAGAAAGAAGAAAGAAAGAAAGAAAGAAAGAAAGAAAGAAAGAAAGAAAGAAAGAAAGAAGAAAGAAAGAAAGAAAGAAAGAAAGAAAGAAAGAAAGAAAGAAAGAAAGAAAGAAAGAAAGAAAGAAAGAGTTCCTGTCTTAAGAGCTTATGACTCAGGGAAGAAGTTTCACCAAAACCTTTTTTCCTTCCTTACTACCTAAATTTGGAATAGAGATATGTGTAACACATAAGCAAGCAGCATACAAATATAACATGAACATCCCAAGGGCAAGAAAAATCGTAGCACAAGATTAGAAGCCAGGACTCATTGCCCTCAATCCTATGGGTTAATACTCAAATAAGGTGGGAAGGACGGTGGTATCTTTTTTTGCAATAACAGCCAAGCCCTAATTTCATTTTCCTTCATCTGAAGTGTTTTCTATGTTCACCGTATTGCAACTCTTTTAGGAAAAAAATTCACAATGAAAGAAAGCTTATTAAGCCTTTTCAAGATCATGAACATATTTTCTCAGTTGAGACAATCTCCCTGTTTCTTATGGAAATTTTTGGTTCAAAATGTTACATTTTTAACATTATATTTAATTCATGATTCTAGGATAGTGTATTGGGAACCCTAGAATAGTACAAATCATTACTGCTTTGAAAAAACAATTGCTTTGATATTCATTTAAGCACCTAGTCTAGGACTATTTCCAGTGATAAGAAATACACAAAGCTTCTTTAACCACCAGAGCCTCTTCATGTGTAAATTATTCCCTGAGAGTAATTTAAGCAATGCACTTATACATTCAGAAGACAGGAGTGCCTCCACAGTAATAATTTATTAATTTAGTGGGCTGTATTCCTTATTCAAAATATAGCACCTCAAGGTCTGAAAATTAAT